GAAACAGAGCTGCTGTGTATAGTAACGGGGAGAGCGAGTGTGTTCTCCAGCACCCCTCCATCATGTCCCAGGGAAGAATGCTGTGTCATCTCTGGACAGTCTTACTATGAGGACAGAGCCCATATGTGGGCTTCAGTCTCTTCTCAGCGACTTGAGTGCCTACCATTATACTAAGCACGCTGTGCTTCACTCCTGCCTTTGGGAGAGACTGGGATAAAGGGGCCCTATCGGAGAGTACCGCTTCCAGTGTGCAGCCCTGCCCTCTGGGAAGGAGTCTGTCTCACAGGTCATGAAGCAGATGACATCTTTTTTTTACTAAACCCATGACTTTGTCATCTTAGTGAGAAGCAAGACCAGAGCAGCTGCTTGTAGCTGTGTCCCTTCTTCATCATCCTCTGCCACCCACGGTGATTCTAGGATGCTGAGATCCCAAGGGTGCAGCACTTGAACACTGATTCTTATTTATGTCTTCAAGGAATGGGACAACCACCAGATCCAGCCTTTGGTCGCGTGTCTAGTCCTCCTAGTGCAATGATGTCATCAAGAATGGGGCCTTCCCAGAATGCCATGGTGCAGCATCCTCAGACTGCACCCATGTATCAGTCCTCAGAGATGAAGGGGTGGCCATCAGGGAACCTGGCCAGAAGCAGGTAAAGAGAGCTTATCTTTACACCCTAGCGCTGGAGGCATGGACTGTTTCTCAGTCACGCTGAGGCCGGAGAGATCACGAGGCTTGGCTTACTTCAGGTTGCTTTATCCTATGCCCATATCTGTGAGCAAGCTGAGTTCTAACAGCGCCTCAGGCCAGGAGTGGTGGCACTCACCCAGCACTCAGGTGACAGAGGCAGGAGGATCTCTGAGTTTGAGGTCACACAGGGAACCAGAGGTATCAATGAGATCCTGTCTCAAGCACCACCACCACCAAGACAAAACAAAACAAGGACCATACGTTCTTTCTCTGATGTTTTCTGCTTAGGCAGAGGGACATCTGACATCTGTGATAGTCTGTGTGCCCTGTAGTCTGGATTGATTTGGAAGCAGTATTACACTCCCCCCCCCCCCTTTTTTTTTGCAGCTCCTTTCCCCAGCAGCAGTTTGCTCCCCAGGGGACCCCTGCATACAACATGGTGCACATGAACAACAGTGGCGGCCACTTGGGGCAGATGAACATGACCCCCATGCCCATGTCTGGCATGCCCATGGGTCCTGAGCAGGTATGGGTATCTACTCTTAACTCTCCAAAAAGTGGTCTGTGTACTTAACTCGGATATATAAGTTACACAAATTACAGTTTTGAAAAGCATTTGGTTTGAAGGTCCTGGGTTATTTATTAGGTATTTGTGTTGGATTCCAAAGATTCTAAAGAACCAGTCACAGCGGTGCCTGGCAGAGTGTGTGATGAGGGATGGTTTTCCGCTGTGCTGACTGTTTTCTCTGTTAACAGAAATACTGCTGACATCTCCCTGCTGGGACCAATAAGGACATCCCTCACTGCACAGGCTCATCGGGGTTAACTAGTCACTGTCTAGGTGACCAACTTGACCACCAAGGTGTTCCGAGTGCTGTCATTTGAGCAGAACTGGGTCCCAAGCTGAAGTGCACTGTCTACCTGATGCCCTGCCTCTGTGTGGCATGGTGTTCTGCCTCATGGGGACGTGATTCTGGAGACAGGAATTTCGTAAGCACCGCTCTCCTGTGTCACTTCCTCCTGCCTCACCAGCCAAAGTCTTCACATAAATCTAGGTGGCTAGGGTTTCTGTCCTGTAGCACTGGGCGAGGAGCACAGTCTGCCTTTCCGTGTAGTAGCTCTGTGTCGCTCTTCTGTCCAGTGGAACCCGTGTTCCTGTGCTCTTGTCCTTTACAGTGTGGTCCCTAGAGTCTGTCGTCTTAGGTTTCTCTTGATGAGGTCCCAATACCCTGTAATTCTCAAGGATTTGTCATTGCTGTTAAATGGCTTTGCAGAAGGGAAAATGAGATGACAATATTTAATTTTCCCGTGCTAATGTGCAGCCAAGTGCACTTTACTTAAGAAATCGTGGAGAAATGCAATATTCCCAAGGGCGTGAGGAATGGTGAGCCACATTCCTGGTTTTTGTCTGCACTAATCTGTTAGGACAAGAACATGTTTGTTTTTTGTTGTTTGTTGTTTTCTTCCAAGTACTGGTGTCACCCTTTGCCTATATGGTAGAGCAATAATGCTTTGAAATAAACTTGTGAAACCCAAGGCCAGGTACTGCACTCTGAATCAGAAGCTCGCAGTGTTTCTGTGAATAGGTTTCCTTTTTGTAAATATGATCTTTTAAGATATTGTATTATGTAAAAATATGTACATACCTTTTTTTGTAGGTCACAGCAGCTCATTTTTACAGAGTTTGTGAAGCTAAATATTTAACATTGTCGATTTCTGTGAACTCCATGCAGTGAGGCTACAAGCGAGTAGACATCCAGAAGTCCAATCCTGGGGAGGACGGGCGGCTGCAGCTTTTCTGCCTCACCCTAAGAGTGAAGGCCTCACTCTTCAGTCTCCTAATCCTAAGACTTTTTAAAGTGATCATTTGATTTGTTTAGATGTAGGCATTTAAAATTTTAAAAATTTCTTTACCAGAGAACTACGCACTTTGTTAATTTGGGGGAAAGAATAGATATGGGGAAATGAGCTTTTAAAAACAACCCAAGAATTGGAAGAAAAAAAAAGCAAATTGAAATTTTTTTTTTTCATTTTTAAGCTGTCCGTAAATTAAATGATAATAGTTTCAGACAACTTGAGTATGCAGCCCATTCATCTTTGAAGAGTGATTTTGGTTGCTGGGATCTGAGATGGAAGGCGCTGGGGCTCTGCTCAGCTCTCCCGTTGTTCTGCTCAATGGGCTCTCTTTCTCTCTACCTCTGCACCAGGATGCTGAGTCAGAACCAGGCCCTGCCCGTGCTGTTGAGTCAGAGGGTGGGCCTTGGCCCTCGCTAGCCCTTCCCCGCCACTTCTCTTGCCTCTTCTTGGCACCTGTTCTAGCAGTTTGGAGTAGGGGAAAACCAAATTTAATGCCCTTTATTTGGGTTTGCTTAGGTTCAAACAATGAAGTGAAATTCGATTCCTAGACTGTGACTGGCTTTCAGGTATCTCTGCCAGCCCGGTTTCATTTTCTGAGAGCCAGTTACTTTTTAAAAGCCACACCATATAGCCACTTGTATCCCTGAAGAGAGCTTCACCTCACTTTGTCTCTGAACAAGTGAAGCTTACATTTCCAGAGCCATCTCAAGGATGGACTTGGCTTTCCAGCGAGTTAGGTCATGATGGGATTCCCCCCTGTGACTGACCTACTGCCCTGGATTGTAAATCCGTAAGCTTCCACTGTCTCTGTGCTTCGCGGGTGACTCTCTGAGCTGGGCTGCTGTGGCCGAGACGTCCTTGCTTAGACTGTGTAGCCCACAGTGGTGCTCCTGTCTCTTCTAAAGACACTTAAGATCCAACTTTCTTTCCTCAGCACCCCAATGCCAGGCTAACTGGCTGGCACCCCTTTTTTTGTATGGGGAAAAATGGAAGTTTATTATGTTTTTATATTTTCTACTTATTTTTATTGGTGCAAATTCAAAATTCTGATTTTCTTTTAATAGTCTTTGGGATAATTTGTTTTTACCTGAATTGCCCTTTTAGTCTTTTTGGATCATTCTCTTTGTACTCCTGTTGCCTACCTCGCCTCCCTCTCCTCTTCCCTGGCCCCTCTTTAAATCTAGGTGTCTCTCGGGCAAACAGTATAAATTATCTTTCCATCTGCTTTTATGATGTGGGACATTTCCAGTACCTACTTTTTTGCTGAATCCAAAGATATATAAATAAAAAATATATTTTATGAAGATCAAATGATATTAAGGAAACATGTTTCTTCAAAAATAAATGAAGCTGTCTTGTTGGTATTAGACCGTTTTCTCTCTGAACTGTGCCCAGTCATTAGCAGCCCTACTCCGTTCATCAGGATTAAATGCTGAGCGGAGCTGGGGGTGTGTAGCAGTGGGTACTGCAGAAGATAATGGCTTCACAGCCTAGATGTTTTCTTGAGGCAGATGCAGCTGGACCATCGTGAGGGTTGCCAGTTGCCCACATGCCAGTCCAGGCCCTTTCTATCTGAGGAGGGAGGCCGTGAATTGTTCCCAAGTGGGGTGTTACAGGAGCAAGTCTCTAGGCTAGCTGCACCTGTGATCCTGCCATGAAGCAACAGGGGGTGTTCCCACCTCCAGTGCGGATGACTTAAAAGCAGGGCACTGTTCTCTTTTTGTTCTCGCCTCCCCCCTTTTCCTTTCCTTTGAATATATGGAGTTTTGAAGAAGATGAAGTGTTGTTCCAAGAGCAGTCAATTCTCAGGAAGTGATACCACTGAGAACAAATTCGGGTTTAATCAAGTTTATGTTGTGTCACCTAAAAGGGAGCCATTCTTTACCCTGCACGGAATCCAAACCACATGGGTGACTCAGTTGGAGTGAGCTTTGGATGCCTTGCTGACTGTCTGGATGCTCTTGTAAATAAAGGTTTCTATTTAAACCCCAGCCTAAGCATGCTGTTCCTCTCCTCCAGTGCCCGGGTCAGGGGTGAAAGAGGGTGAAGGAATAAGGACACCGTGTGTCTGTGAGGTCAAAAACAGGCCTTTCAAAGCATTTGAAAACCATCTAGACAAACACGAGTGCCCTCTGCTGAGACATGGGGTGGGTTGACCTTTCCACTTCTACCCACCCTAGCTTTCTGGCAGTCACGTGGACCGGATCACCCTACTTGGTTTAACAAAGGGTTGGATGAGTGCAGGCCTTGTTGCTGAGAAACAGGCCTCCAGATGCCCCAGAGCTGGTGGACTTACCTGTGCAGCCCCGCGAAGCATGGTAGGGTTAATATTAATGTGCAACCCTCTGCTTCTCCAAAGCCCTTGCAGTTGAAGGCGCACCCTTCACAGAGGCACCCGCAGTGTCCTGAACACTTAAAGCAAAAATAAATAAATAAATAAAAGACAGGAAAAGTCCCAACATAATCTTTTACAAAAATTCAAAGATTTTTTTCATACCAGTAGCTAGTCATTGACTGGGGGTATGAACACTGTAAGATGGTGCTTATACTACAAAATTTCTTTACAAATACAATGTCATTAAAACACAGGACACACATCAGCTTGGGTGTTCAGTACCTTAGAAAACGTGAGTTCTGGGCTGGATAACAAAGGAATGGATCCCGGGTGGGAACAGAAATGTCCACAAGCTCGAGGGATTTTTGTTGACACTGGCCACAGAGCGTTTATTGACACCACGACTCTTGAGAACGGGATTTTGTATTAGTGAGATTCCCCTAGAGTCCCTGTGTTGGTTACATGTGAGCAGTCACATATATACAGTGAAGGCAGCTTCAGAGGCAGCGGGTCATCCGGCCAGGTGAATGGGGCTGCTTTTGTGCTATTGACTCATGGCCAGACTGCCTTGCCGGCAGCACCCGGGGTTGCCCATGTTCGTGCTTTCTCCAAAGAATAAGAAGGTTAAAACAAGATTGTTTTCTTTATACGACTTAAAAAAAAAAATCCCAGCAACTTTCATCCCTGGAGGAGATCCATGGAAATCAGTCCTGTTGTCCGTCCGAGCCTCTGAGAGGGCTGACAGATTCCAGACGTGAGAATGTTTTCTGAGCAGCTGGTGAAGTTCAATCCAAAGCAAAGCAGGGCAAAAAAAAAAATGGGCCCGGGGAAGTCTGGGCGCAGTCTTCAAGGATTTCATGTCCCAAGAGAGCAGGCCCTGCCTCCTGTCAGGCCTCCCAGTTTCAGCACCGGGAATCATCTGTTTTTCGCACAGCCTGGGCAGCCACACAAGGCCTCTGGTTTTGGAGGTTCCTCTCTATGGCCGCTTAACCTTCCCAGCCTTCCCAAAGCTGTCCCCTGCGGAACAAAATACACTTCTCAGCCTTTGGTTGCCATGCTGTTCAGACTTTAAATCAGCCCTACACTGCAAAGCTTGGTTGAGGGGTATGGCTGATGGACAGGAGTGTTGGCCATGAGGAAGGAATTGTTCCACCCGGTTGCCTCACGGTTAATGGCTCACTTAGCGACTCAGTGGACATTTGTTAAGGGTCTGGGTAGAAATGTGGCTAAGGATTTGAGATGCATGTTCTGGAAGCTGGCCCATTACTGTCCTCGTGAAGCCGCAGAGATTGACATGCATGAGGAGGGCCAGGGTGGGTCACTGCAGAGGGGAGTGGACAGGTGAGCTGTCAGTCTTAAAGCCAACTCTCACATTTGCATTTTGGGGAGAATCCGGCAAGCTGTATCCACACCCCCTGGGAATCAATTGGCTGCCCCTAAGACTTGAGGTTCTCCACATGGCCCGTGACAGCCATGCTGCTGAGAAGGGTATACACTTCAGCCACGGCCTTCAAGGTGTCTGTCACTGTAGCCCTGACTCAGTTCTCAACACTGCCATAGCTCAGCCATGCAGATTACTACAGAGAACAGCAGCCTATTAGGATTAGCTGTTAATTTTAAATTATGAAATATATTCGCATTATCTTACAGAAGAAACAGCTATTACTTTGTCCTCTCTGAGTATGGGAACAGAGGGCAATGAAGATGCTGCATGAAGAACAGCCCCAGAGAGAGGAAACAAGGCCGGGATGGTGTTTGGTAGAGCTCTTGCCTAGCATGAATGACTCCTGGCTTCAACCCCTAGTACCGGAAAAACACACACACAAACAAAACAACAGCAACAAAACCAGAAACTAGCAAGTCAGAACCAACTCTGCCTGTCTGCAGACTGATTCTTCAACTCACAGTGATTTGGAAGAAGGTCTCTTCATTTCTGGCCATTTTCGACGCTGAAACTGCCTGCATTTTTCAGGTGCCAAAAGGAAGATCTGTGTTAACTATCACTAAGATTGTATCGTTGCGCCCCCCCCCCCCCAGCCCCAACCCCCGAACTGTGCAGAGATGCTGTCTGAGGTGACACTTCGGTAGACAGTTTCTCAATAGGTACAACCATAAAAAAAAAAAAAGGTCAAGATGGGAAGACTTAGCCCAAACTTAAGTAACAAAACCAAATACCTGTATTGCTCATAGCTTCCTCCATCTTTGAGTCCTAAGTGAGAGATAGACAGAACAGGAACCGTTTAAGGTAAAATGGTACAAGCATCAGCAGGCTTTATGACTGCTAAGGAAGACAGGTAAACCACCTTTGGCTTGTCACAAATGCCAGTGCCAGGATGTCACTAGTGTCCCTTGCTCAGGTAGAGTGGGTGAATGATGAAGACCCCTTTAGTATGCCAGATGGCCTTGTAGATACCGCCCCCCATTGACCCCACTTAGCCTTCATTCTCAATGGCTTTAGTGGGGAAGTAGGCACAGGTGTGGGTCCTAGTGCCGCACGAGACTCACTGGCTGTGTGTAGGTGGGTGAGGGACCCCTATGCTTGCACTCTGAATTCCTGAGGATATGAGGACCTGAGCATGTGTCAGTCACTGGGTTCACGTTTCTTACTTCTGAGCTGGGGCTAGGATTGCCTCAGAATTCCCACGCATCACAGTACTTAGATGAGACTGCATGACCACCACCAAGTAGAAGCAAGTATCTGGGTAGGGTCAGGTGTCTCCTGTCACCACTGTAGCCACTCTGGACCTCCCCACATCGTAACGCAGACTGGGACATCTGGGTCTGTCTTCTCCACTTCCCTCTTTCCCGATGGGAATCTGAGGCCTCTCAGGACAAACAGATGACAAAGGGTTCTGAGGTTGTTCCCTCTACACTTGGCGGTGGCTAATAAGCACATGACATCTTTCTGATGGTTTCCATCTTCACGCATCTAGCTGGCACCCTGAACTTAGAGCTGCTGACTTTGCTCTCTTCCCACCCCTCCACAAACCCAGGAGTAGCCTGTATCTCCACCTCTTCTGTCACCTCCACATCACCATGTCGTGTGGCCCTTAGTACTGCACCTCAAGTCCATTATCCTCTCTCATACTGAGTCACAGCCCCAAGTCTCCGTGGATAAAGTGGATAACTGTTATATGCTGCTCTTTACCGGATCCAGCTTCATCCTCTACTTAGTAATCACTATCTTTTCTTTTAAATGTTGACTTTCACTGCCCAAACTTAAACCCTCCCATCAGCTCCCGAAACCATCTCAATTAAAGTCTAAACCTTTCTCCGTGGCCTGCAAAGCCTGTACAGGATGACTGGCTGACCCTGCATGTCACATGTCACTCCACCACCACACTGGGCTTGTTTATGTCCCTCCTACTTCTCAGCTGCCCGTGTTTTCTCAACAGGTGACTGCTTCCTCTACAGTGGTCACCCCTGATCTATCACAGAGCCCCAATGATCCTGTCTCACTCAAGCCAAAGCCTTCCCTGTAGACCCTTGGCTCTGAGCAGAATGCCAGCTTCACATCTCACGCACACATTTGCTTCCTTAACTCACAGGGTTACATTCTGCGTAGTGAACAAAAGGGAGGACGTGGGATCAATGGTAAAGGCTCTCAGCTCTCGGGAAGCACAGCCCCGTGAAAGCCAGAAGGTGTTTATAGCCTTCCCCATCCTTTGTCTAGACTTAGAAGAGACTTGGACCCTTCCCTGTGATTCTGGGCTCGCTTTTGGGTCAGATACGACCTAAGCTCTTCTCTGCAGGTTCCGCACTGGGACCCCTACTCACCCAGGTCCATGTTTCGGGTCCGGGGGTTGCACTGCTTGTAGCCTTTGCAGCTTCTCAGCTCCATGAGCTGCACGTGCAGTTGATTGAGGACATCCCTGTCCAGCGTGTTCACTGCGTTCATCAGCTGGTGGGAAAGGGTGGCCGTTAATAGGGAAGGTCCTGGGACCCTGCAGTGGTATTTCACTTGCATTCTAATAAATAAAACTCGCCTGGAGGTCAGTGTAAAGCAGACACACTAGTCAGCCATACAGGCCAGGCAGTGGTGGCACACACCTTTAATCCAGTAGCCACACTAATTAGGCTGGGTGGTGGTGGTGCACTTTAATCCCAGCACTAGAGAGGAATATAAGATGGGAGGAGACTGGAACTCACTCTGGTTCAGTCTGAAGATTTCATTGAGGTAAGAGTTCTCTGGTGGCTTGGCTGCTTTGCTTTTCTGATCTTCAGGCTGAACCCCAATATCTGTCTCTGGGTTTTTATTATTTGTGCTACGGGACCTCCTACCTCCATCTCCTCTTCAAACCAGGACACTTAACTCAGGTGGGCTGGGAGCAGAGGCGCTATGGGTGTACTGTCTACACCCACTCTCACTTCTGCAAGAGCCACCGTGTGGAGGAGTGAGATGAAGGGTCAGATCCTCTCTGCCAGGTTCTGCTTCGGGGGGACGGGAAATGGAGAAGACAGGCTATGTCCAAATCCTTAACCTTGAAATTCTGGAGCTGCCCACTAGGTGTCTGGAGCTTTCCCATTAGCTGGGAGAGAGCCTTCTAAGCCTTGTTCATAAGCCCGCTCTTGTTCCCCCATGGGAAAGCAGCCACTAGGTACAAAGGTGGGTCAGGGGTGTGGAGGCATTGTCTAGTATGATCACTGACTGGCATTGTCTGGTGCTCTCATTGGTAAAATATGGACGGGCTGAGCCTATCAGAAGGAAGACTGCCAGGCTGTGGCTACTGAAGTCACTTTGGATGAAGATGCTTCAGGCTTTTTGAATGTGGTTGAACATTTGGACATTGCAGAGGCTATTCTCCCAAACAGCTAAGATGGAAAGTTCTGGTTCCCAGGTGCCCTGTGGCTTGTGCTTATCTCGTGTGGCTCAGAGCCATTTCAATCATATCTGTGCCTAGGTTGTTTGCCATAGGAAAAGAAGGCACAGAGCTTCTCTCGAGTGGATGCCAGGTGGGAAGGTTGCTTGCCTGCAGTCTGTGCCAGGCCAGAGCGTCCTGACCCTGTAGCTCCATTGCTCTAAGGGTCCACGGAAGTGCCTGCTGAGCCTTGTATGTAGCCAAGGGCGAGGGAAAAGCTGTACCATAGATCAGAGCGAGGGTAATGGAAGGAGACACATGTTGACTCCCCAGAGTCCCAGACTCCACGTGGCCTTGGAAGTCACTCTTCCCATCTTAGGGACCTGGTGGAACTTCTCTGCCCTTCTGAAGGAGACTGTGTGCCCTGCGTTCCCACCTCCCAATCTCTCTGGAGGCATCTGTACCTGGTAAGGGTCTGTACTGAGGTCAAAGTATTCTATGAAGCCAGTCGCGAATTCACAGAAGAGGAAGTTGTGGGTCTCGTTGATGGTCCTCAAGCACCAGTATGTGTTATTGTTGGCGCTGGTGCAGGCACAGAAGGGTCCCACTGTGGAAGGAAGGAAGCAAGCATGTTCCAAGTGTGTCCGCAGAAACACGAGTCTGTCAGCTTCCCTGAGCCAGTCTCTCAAATGCCAAGCGACAGGCTGATACCAGGCACAGGTTTCTAAGACACCTCCAGGGTCCAGAAGTTTGGCCCTCTGGAGCCTGGGGAAGGTAGGTGGCTATCTACAGGCCTCCCGTCCCCTGCACGCCCCCGCTTGCTCACGCGTCCAGAGAGGCGCGGTCTGCCAGTGGTGGTTGTCGTGGGTGAAGCACGTGAGGCCTGGCATGCTGCACGTGTCATTGTTCTGCAGCCGCTTGAGCAGCTTGCGCAGTTTCTTCTTCCGTTTCTGCTCCCGCAGCAGCCACACCTTGTCCTTCTCCTGCAGTCCTTTCCTGGGGGGGGGGCACAGAGGACCACACACACTTAGGACCCCTGAGGGACCAATGGCCCGCAGCTTTGTGGTCCACCCTCGGCGTTGGGCAGTCATCAAGGACTCTAAGCCTTACTGTCGACCCCCAGGGCCTTTCTCCTCCCATAGCCTCCTTCAGGCCCCCTGCAGCCTGTGAAGTGAGGTGGCTGTCAGGATCCTTGCTCACACACACCATGAGTGCACAGTGCTTAGTATGGCTGCAGCACCATAACTAGCCACAGTGGGGCTCCAGAGGTCTTTGCATGGACCTGGGGCCAGCCTCTCCAAGGACTACCCAGACCTCACCTCCTGGGGGAAGCCAAGGGGGCCTTCTGTCTTTTCCATATTGGGTTTTAGCTACAGGCGGGAGCTGTCTCTGAGAGCCACACATCTTACCCCTGTGGTCGGTCCCTACCCTTACCTGAAAGGGTGCAGGCTGGAGCCTTTGTGCTTGAGGCGGCCTTTGTGCTGGGTGTGGTAACTGCAACAGACACCCCCCCCCCAAATAAATAAACAAACAAAACCCCAAGAGTCAGGAGCCTCTCAGCACAGAACACCCTGGCAAGTAGGCAACGGGGTTCCTGGGCTCCCCTATGCCCTTCTCTCATGTAGTAGGACTACACTCCCCAGCATGCCAGCTCCACACTTGTCTTGGATGCCCCAGGCTAGACCATACATGGCCAGAGTGGGTATAATTGAATCCAGACTGGAAGCTGAGCCGCGCTTCAGGTGGTCTCAGCCTTGACCTCGAAAGATCACTTCCCAGTAAGACGTGTACCGAATGCTTACAAGGGGATCTTGGGAACCTGAGTTTTCAAAGCCCTACAAGTCAGCTCAGGTGTTCAGAGCAGTATGCCTACTTCAGTTTAAATCGAGTAAAATTCTCAAAAAAAAAAAATTTAGCTGGGAGTGGGTGGTGGTGGAGGTGGCACACACCACTAATCCAGCGCTCTGGAGACAGAGGCTGGCGCATTGTGAGTCCGAGGCCCGATCCTGGACAGCCAGGGTAAAGTAAAATTCTGGCGTCACATTCGCTAGTCATGTGTGTGCTATGACCACCACACTGGACAGTGACCGCAGATAGGATCTTTCCATGTGGGACGTTCTCACAGGCAGAGCCTGAGTGGTAGCAGGGACCTCGAGTCCCTCAGCCCACGAGTTCCCAAAGGCAGTGAGGAGACGCAGTGTCCCTGCCTGAGCCAGCTGTTCAAGGCAAGACCCCGCCTCCTGTTAGAGCTGCCACCAGAGAGAGTTATCATTGACTCCTTAATCTTGACAGGCAAGGATGCAATTGAAAAGCAACGAAAGGGGCTGGGAAGGAAGGGGAGTTAGTGTTTGCAGGGGTGTGGGGGTGGATCCTGAGCTACCCTGCCCGCTACCACACCTGAGTTTATGGCAGTCACATTCTTCTGGCCGCTTCTTCTTCAGGTGACCTCTGACCTCTCGCAGGTTCTTAATTTTGTTCTGCAGGGTTTCAATCTGAGGGGGCAACAGGAGAAGAACTAGAAATCACGGGGCAACGGTGGTGGCAAGGGTACAGCCACGCCTACATTTGTGCTTCTGCCTGGGGGAGAGGGTTCCCTGAAGGACCAGAGGGGACAATCAGCGGAGCCCACCAAGGCTGTAGAAAGGACGAACTCTATCAGGACATCTTGCGGGTCTAATGTATGACAGGCCTCAGCCAGCTGATTCTGGGTTGGCCCTGTGGCTGGCTATCAGATCCTGGAACTCAGATTCCCGTTATGGGGTCATGGATTTGGGGGTGGAGGTGGGAACCATCTTCTTCTCGTGGCCAGGTCTCCCTGCCCTCCCTATGGATGCTGCTACGGAGCCTGCGGCACCCAACTGTGCTTCCCCTGGTTGCCGAACCTCATGGTCGATGTGCAGCTTGTGGTCTTTCCAAGCCTGCAGGGACTTGTACAGGTCTAAGTCACACTGGACGGTGTCGTTCTCGAGGATGTAGCACCTGTTCAAGGGGGAGGGGTCAAGAGTGGCCCTGAGGGGTGGAGAAGGGCCCAGCCTGCCCCTGTTCCCTTTGGGCAACCTCCACCTGGGCTCTCACCGATGGGTCACTTTAATGGGATTGGGGGCGGAATAGTCTGGAAGACCGCCAGTACCACTGAAGCTGCCACCGTCCTTGTCATCCTGGTCTTCTGGGGCCCCTGGCCAGTGCCGCTTGGTAAGGTTCCGGGGCTGGGGCACGCTGTCCAAGCCTACGTGGTATACCTCACCATCCACCTCAATGGCCACGGAACGGATGGAGCGGTTACGAGCATAGCTGGTCTTGTACTCTGTGGATATCGGAGGGGACAGGTTAGAGAGGCTGGGGACAGGCTAGCCAGGTATCTTGGCCATGGGTCTTCAAGTGACCAGAGGGTTTCGGGAGAGCTAGTGAGACAGCTTTGTGGGTAAAGACACTTCCACCTGGGGCTGACGTCTGAGTCCATCCGTCCCCGGGCCCTCCCTACCCCCATCTTTCTCCCCCCCTCCCCTGCCCAGGCAGTAAAAAGAGAGAGTTAACTCTTGCAAGATGCCCTCTCTCCACTCTTATGGGCCACAGGTGCATTCTGGGAGCAGGTGAGTCTGCCAGTGTGGACTCTGAAAGCAGACTGTCCACATGGTCTGATGGCTTGCCCCTCAAGTCACATCTAGACCTGACTACTTCCTCCTTTGACACAATGGCCCGTCCATGCCACCCGGCTTTTTGTCTGGCCCTCAGCTGTCTGTTTCTCTCACCTTTAGAGTGGCCATGTGAGGGAGATTTGAGACCATGAAATTGACCACCTCATCTCTGCCCTCTCCAGACCACAGGGTCCCATCTGGAAGGAGACACCCATCCTAGAGTGTCCGGCTGGCCCCATGTGCTTGGCCTGGGTCTCTTGTCCACACTTCTAGCCTCCTAGTGGCTACCCTATCACCGCTGCTCTCTTGAATGATGGCTTGGGAGAGATCTGGCTGTGTCCCTTTCTCTGAGGACACACCCAGGCTTGGAGACAAGTGTCTGTGGAATTGTTTGAAGTTTACGTGGCCCCAGGCCCTGGCTGCTTCTCCTGCCTAGTTTGGCCAGGCCTGTGACACTTACTTTTCTTAAAGAGTTTGCGGCGTCCAGCCAGGCCCAGTTTGTAGTCTCCAGCACCATCACAGCTGCAGGCCTCGCGGCTCTGCCCGTAGTACTTGGGCACCAGGTTGGAGATGGCTCTGCCGCCGCCGCCACCAAACCGTGTGGGGCCCTTACACTTGTGCAGCTTCAGCGTCCCGGAAGCATCTTCCACACACTGCCACTTCTGTGGGACACAGCAGGGCTTCAGGCATCCGGGCCCTGGGGAACCTGCTTAACGTACCCACCTCTCTTCTCCCTGCCCATGCTTAGCTTGGCAAATGTCATACCCTTGCCACCTCCAAGGGCCTGCTCCTGTCTTCACACATAGCTGGACCTGCCATTGCATGCAGCGAGACAGTCGTGGTGTGGCTGCTCCTGTCTGCCTAACTCTTGCCCTCACTGTGGCCCTGCAGTCCTCTTTCAGGGTCCTGTCACTCCCATTTAAAACCTCCCAGGCCTGATCTTTAGGTCCCAGGCTGGTAATCCCGGTATAGTCTGCCCGGATCTCCTTCCCTGCTGACCTTGCTCTTTCTCAGCCCCACACTCTCTTTCAGCACACCCGTGTGTCCCTCACCCCGCTTTGAGAGAAAACACTGAGAGGTCGGGATGCTTGCCCCAGGTCACACGGCTGGGGGGAACTGTCACTGTGATACTTAGCCCCATGTCTTGTTCACTCTGCCCTCTCCCCCACCAATCTGCTCTGCTGGCTGTCAGAGCTTCCTGCTGCCCTCGTGCCCCTGGAGGTGGGCCAGGGGAGCCCCACTCCTGCTCACACCACATGCCCACAGGCTCTCTTATCTCACCCCGTCCTTCCCATCTCCCTACGTTCTGTGACTCGTGCCCAGTGAACTGTCGCACCCCACAGCCCATTTTGGAAAAGCTTCCTTTGGGCTCTCTGAACACCAACCCTTGCTCTCCCTTGGAGACCACCTGGATTACAATTGTTATATTAAAACAAAAAATCTTGAAGGTCATTACCTAATCCCACTGTAAACGGCAAGACAAGCACAAAAAGGACAGCACAGAAGCCAGCAGGAAGGCAATGCTGTTCGCCATCAGCCTGCCTGCTGGTCTTTCCCTCATACAAGGTCACACACTCAGAGGACACCGCTTCTCTGACAGGGATCAGAGACTCCCAGTAACCAAGGAACCACACCCTAGAGGCCCAGGGGGTTGCGGGCCATCTCACCTGCCCCAGCTGCTCGCAAGCTGTCTGGTACTCGGCGCGCTGGCATAGGTCCTTCACACGCTGGTACTTGGGCAGGAAGTTCTCCTCCTGGGCATCTACTTTGTCACTGTCTCTCTTGTGGAGCAGTTTGCTGAGGGAGATGAGGGGCTGGCTGAACTAAGGGATCCCTGGGACGACTTGTGCTAGCCTAGACCGCAAGCCCCACTCAAGCTCTGTGGGGACCTACAGTGGAGGACGTATGTCTAGCTGCTGAGAGCACATGGGTTTTAAATTTGTGTATTCTTTATTTATGAACGCTCTGCATGGATATCTTTGTGTCAGAAGACGGCATCAGAACCTAGTATAGATGGTTGTGAGCCACCATGTGGTTGCTGGGAGTTGAACTCAGGACCTCTGGAAGGGCAGCCCATGCTCTTAACCACTGAGCCATCTCTCCAGCCCCACACTGAGATTTTAATGGGAAGTCTCTAGAAGTGGTTCATTCCAGATGGACTGAGTTGGGATAAATAAGCAAGAAGACACCATGTAGGCTCTGCCAAATAGGTTGAAGGGGGGGGGCACATGGGGCCTTCAGTTAGAGTTCTGCATCAGTCACCCGATCATGACTGGGACTTTAGACATACAGCCCGAGTCACCCAGCCACCAGCATAGCATCAATGTGACCCCTCCAGTCTTGCGGCTGCAGGAGCTCCTAGCGGGGCCCGACCTCCCTGCCCCGCACTCACCCTCTCTCCACCAGGAAGGAGTCTCGCCAGACCCTCAGCTTCTTTTTCAAGTGGAACCTAGGAAACAAGCAGGTCCAGCCCTGTCCACAGGTGCCCCACGCCCCAGGGCTGTGGCAGTCATTATGAGTGACCAGTGAGACACTGGGAAAGGTCCCCACACCCCGTGGGCAGGGCTACTTCTCCAAGATGTATTTCTGAATGCCTCTCTGGGGTTGGTTGAAGTCGCCCGGTTACGTGTGTGTGTGTGTGTGTGTGTGTGTGTGTGTGTGTGTGAGTTTCCCAGGAGCCTAGGCCCCCAAATGCTGGCAGAGACAGCACTCCCCAGGTCTGGGCTAATGAATATCTGTAGAGGGCCATTCCTTCTGACCCATTAGGGTCAGGTTCCTGTACACGGCCTGTGTGTATAATGCATGCTGTCTTCTCCATTTCAAAATAGGTGGGGGCATTGAGAAACAACATTCTACTCTGTCCCCCAATTCTCAGGTGGTCTCAGAGTGTGCCCCACACTCTGCACGTGTATTTCACACCCTTCCAGCTCTCTCAATCGGAGAATGTATCTCCTTTCAGGGCAGCCAAAGGTTGGGCCCTCTGGGAAGAAAGCCGGGGCAAGACTCAGGGCAAAGGACGACACCAAGCATGGCGGCCTGTTAGCCAGCAGGCAGTTTCAGTCCTGACCACCAGGGGTCACTCCTGCCTTTCTGGTCCCTCACCTCAGCCCATCTTTCCTTCCACTTATTTTTTTTTGTTCACTGCTGCTTCCTTCTGCAGCCCAGGACACCTGGAACATGTTTCTGTCAGTCACATCACCCATCACCAGGGCCATAAAAGCCACAGTCGTCGCGACAAAGAGTCTGAATTCTTGGTTATCATCTTACCTCTCTAGGAATCAGATAATGTAAGTCTCTTTTGCTGGGGGACTATGGGAGCAAACTTGCTGGGATCCCCGGGCACATAACACGGTCCCCATGCCCCTGTGATCACACAGTGGCTACTGGTACTTCAGCCTTTCCACCATTTTAACTTTGGAAGGGTCCTCAACTCCAGATGGGAGGATAAAATCCCAGAAAGGCTTGATCCTTTGCTATGTCATGCGTTAGTGTGGGGGCACCTGGGTCCTTAGTTCCTGATGCTAGTGGCCTTCCCAGTTCCCCGTGGTTTGGCTGAGTTCACATTGGCCAGGGAGTCCCCTCCTTCCCTGGGTCTGTCCTGCGCCCTTCTCACCGGTTCATTGGCCGCTCTGAGTCCAATAGCTTGAGGATAGACTTCCCATCCATGTCTGCGGGGATGTCCAGCCCGGCAATATCCAGTATGGTGGGGGCCAGGTCAATGTTGAGGACGATGTGAGGATTCCTGGGGACAGGGATTGGAAACTTGGCCACCTGGAGGATAGCTTGGTTTGGAACAGGGACAGCTGGAGGTGAAGAAAGAGGAACATCCTCGGGAGAGGAAGCTCCCATCACACCACCCCAACCTTCATGGAGGGGAGTTCCAGCTGAATCATCCTTTGTTACCAAGGTGCTGAGCTGACAAGGTTACCTGCCCTAAGGCCACCCCCTGTGCCTCTAGGGCAAATGCCCAACCCTTGTAGATTCCCGCTGTCTGGGAATGCATAGTCTGGCCCCTAAGCTCTTGCCATCCTCCACCCAGAATGATCTTCCCCCAGACACCTAAGTGATACTGATCTTCCCTTCCCCCGCTCCTGGGATCACATCTTAGCCAATGACTGCTGGGCAACCCACTCAGTGGCCATCCATGTGAGAATGCCCAGCCCAGCCCATGGCTAGCTGGCGGGGTGACAGAGGGATGGGGTATGAGGACAGGTGTTTAGCTCCGTCTTACTGGAGTTTTCTTTCGTGTCCACCCCTCGCTGGCTTTGAAGGCGTGTCAAGGGCTGCTGTGCAAGCCCCGTCCTCTGCACACACCTGGTGTCCTTGATGTCCCCCCACCTCAGCTGTTACAGGGATGAGGCCCCCACGATTACCAACCCTTCTTCCATCTCTGCCTCCCGCTAGCATCTCTGCTGCAGGTTGCCATCTCAAAGGTTAAGTCAAGGAGAATGGCTGAGGCCCATGGCCCACGTGGCCCTTGAGGAAAGAGTGGAAGGCAGATGGATGGCTTGCTCTGCACTGCTACCAGGAGCAGCTCAGCTGATAATAGCTCTGGGCTCAAGCCTGAGGTTTCTCCCCAACAGCCACCAGACCAGCTGGGGTGGAGATCAAGCTCTTCTCAGGCATCGGCGACACCCAGCCTCTGGTATTTCCTGGCACAAAACCCTACCTCGCTGTTTTTCACAACAGCACAGAGCTCCTGGCTTGTGTGGCTGGCTCAGCTGTTCTGGAATTGTGTCCCTGGGGGAGTGTGGCTAGGACTTGGGATAAGCTCTCGAGCCAAGCAGAATCCAAGGTCTCCCTGTGAGCCTGGGACCTGGGGTACAGGTGTAGGTGACATACTTACAGAGAGCCGGCCTCCACGTTGGGGCCCCTCACATAGAACGGGACCCTGATGTCGAACTCATAGGGCATGGACTTGCCCTTCACCAGGCCAAACTGGCCAATGTGGTAGCCGTGGTCGGCGGTGTACACGATGTAAGTGTTATCCAGCTCACCAGTCTCCACCAGCATGTCGTAAATCTGCAGCAGAGGCTATAGGTGAGGTGTCCGGCCACCCAAGGGGCAAGGGACTGGAGCCTTCTGGTCTCATCATCCCTCCCATCTTCTCTCTGCCCTCTGTGCCTTGGGGCAAATCCACTTTTCCGAGAGGCCTCTGGGACTGTTTGGGAGCCCACTTCCCCCTCACACTTAGGGTCAATTTCCTCTCATCTGTAGACAGTCCTCACACTACAATGGAAGTACCACAGGGTGGGAGTCCTGCTGTGTGTAGAGGGGTCTTGCTATTTTGTTCCCTGGCAGCGGGGACTCTCTTGCACTGATCCTCAATAAATGACGATGGATGGATGGATGGATGGATGAAGCTAGGTATGACCAGGGCAGGAGTCTGTGACCTGAAACAGAGCTGTTGCATAGGACTTTCTGTGATGCTGGCTGAGTGAGGATCTGCGCTGCCCAGCGTGGCTATGGAACACACAAACTAAGTCTGGTGTGACCAAAAAAATGGTATTTAAATTTTATAGTACTTTTTAAAAGGATTTGTTTATTTATTATGTATATAGTGTTCTGCCTGCATGTATGCCTACAGGCCAGAAGAGGGCACCAGATCTCATTATAGATGGTTGTGATCCATCATGCAGTTGCTGGGAATTGAACTCAGGACCTCTGGAAGAACAGCCAGTGCTCTTAACCTCTGAGCCATCTCTCTAGCCTCAATTTTATAGTATTTTAATTAATTTAAATTTAGATTGCTACGGATTCCTAGTGTGTGAAGTTGTTATCCTACACAATGGAGTATGATTCAATATAAGGTGTGTGTGTATGTGTGTGTACAAGTACATTCTAGCATTCCAGTTTGTGTGTGTGTGTGTGTGTGTGTGTGTGTGTGTGTATGTAGGCCAAATGAGAATTTTTGGAGTCAGATCTCTCTATTCTGTGGGTCCTGGGGATTCTGATATATGCTTTAGTATAGGTAAGCCTTGGGGATAAAAAGCCAGTCCCCCCTCCCGAGTGCTGGGATTAAAGGTGTGTGCCACCACCACCCCACATAAAAGGCCATATTTTGTATGATCCAATTGCACGACAAGTCCAGAGTAACAAAGAGCTTAGCACCTGCCGAGACTGGGGGTTACTGAAGGGGGTTACAGCGTTGATGGTTCTAGAACCCAGAGTAAATGGGAATTCTGAGGGCTGTGGACACGGCTTAATTGGGTAGAGTGCTTTCCCAGCATGCACAAGGCGCTGAGTTCAATCCCTAGCAGCACATAAACCAGGTGGTGCACACCTGGAATCCCAGCACTTGGGAGGCAGAGGCAGGAGGGCCAGGGGTTCAAGGTCATCCTCAGAGAGCACTAGGCCATTCTGGGTTACAGGAGACTGTCTTAAAAACAGAAGCAAACGGAGCTCCCAGCTCCCACGGCAGCGCGCACACAAAGCAGCCACGGCACTGTGCACGCGGAACACCCACTGCACTGTGCACACTGAGCACCCACGGCACTGTGCACGCAGAGCACCCACGGCACTGTGCACTTCAGCTGGGTGAACCACATGGTGCACGAGTACTGAGTGCATAGCTCAGTAAAGCTGCTGAGATTATAAGTGGTTTCTCCTTCTTTTGTTAAAGAGACGGAAGTAGCTGGGCATGGTGGCTTTTATTTGAAATTCCAGAACTCAGGAGGCTCTATGGGTGAGAGGCCAGTTTAGCTACTCACTGAGTTCTAGGACAGCCTGGCTATACAGAATGAGACCCTATTCAAAAAAATTATTATTATTATTATTATTATTTTGGTTTTTCGAGACAGGGTTTCTCTGTGGCTTTGGAGCCTGTCCTGGAACTAGCTCTGTAGAACAGGCTGGTCTTGAACTCACAGAGATCCGCCTGCCTCTTCCTCCCGAGTGCTGGGATTAAAGGCGTGCGCCACCATCGCCTGGCTTACTATTATTTTTTTTAAGAAAATAAAGAAAAGCAGCAAGGCTACAGTGACTCCATCAAGCAGCATAGGCTCATGGGAAAATTTCAAGAGGCAGAGGCCTCCCTCAGGATTGCTCCAAGCCCCCTTGCCCAAGTCCACATAGTGCCTGGTCCTCTGATTTAGGTTTCTGGGTTAGGGCAGAGGCCTGTTGGGGGTGGGGTGGGGGGCTGAGGGGCAGGGCCTACCGTCTCCATGGAGTCGTCCACAGACATGAGTGTCTGCAGGCGTTTCCGCTGAAGCATGTTGGTGAACTCCATGTGGATGGGCTTCATGGGTCCCGTGTAGCGCATGATCCAGTGCTTGTCGGGATTGGGTGCATAGTTGTAACTTGGTGTGCTGGTGGCAAACACAGGCAGTCAAGAGAAGTGCCCCAGGGCAGGGGCAACACCGTGCCAATGGCGGCTTGCTCCAGTGTGGGGCAAGCCATCACTGGCACCTGAGGGGCTCCACTAAACCACATGGACAGGGGGAAGACAGCTGTTAGGGGGTGGCAGAGCATCTGGTAGACCGGAGTCCCCAAGTGCAGAAAGCCAGCCAGTGACCTCTAGGCTTGGCATGAGTCCTTCTTTGAGAACTTTGTGGAATTCATTCATCAACTCTTTAAAGAGGCTCCAGTTCAGATCCCTCTGACACCCAGAACTTGGTGCTAAGTGCACATCCTACACTGCCCAGGGAATTTATTCCTTAGCCCCAGGGGACACAAATGGCTGTCACACCAGCAAGGAAGGACCAGAGATATGTGACCCCCTTTGCATTTGACCTTGGTTTGAGAAACCCAAGTAAAAATCAAGTATGTCGCAGGGGTTATGCGTGCAGGGCCCACACTCCCAAGGATGCCCCTAGTAAGTCAACATCTGGGACGTGAGGCACACCATCCTTTTGATTCTTTGTCACAGGTATTCTTCCAGTTTTATGGTTTGATCTCCCTTTAGACTAAGTCAGGACGATCACAAGTTAAAGACTCGCTTGGGCACAGTAATCCGACCCTCTCTGGGAAACAAGACAAAACAAAACGAAACCACAAATAAACTGTAAAACCCAAAACTAACCCACAGAAAGAGGGTATCACGCCACTGTCCACTGGGTCTCCAAACATGAGTGACTGGTCCCCTGAGACCCTATCCCTAGCTTAGCAAGCTAACAATGTTTGGCTTTACGGCTTAGAGTTGTCTCCTGCTTGACACTGGATTCTTAGAGAGGAGTTGGGGGGGGGGGGCAGTCTGTGAGAAGACCTTGTCAGAACAGACAATGCTCTCCCTGCACAGACCCTGCCTGGGGACCCCAGCACTCTCTCACACATCCAAGGGTCTTGTACGGAGATGGCACCATGGCAGCTTGGCAGTCCAGCAGAGAGGAAGTCGCTACTGTGTGCTGCAGACGAAGCTAGGGCCTCACAGCTCCCTGGCTCCTGCCAGGCTCCTGCCGCTAAATCCTTCCCAGCCCACGCGTTCTTTGATTATGAGAAATGCCCGTGTCCCACGCGGCTGGCCCAGGGCATGACCTCCATGTAGAACATTCTTGGAAACAAACCTCCTCACCTCAGGGAGGCAGAGGGGCTACTGGGGCAGCGGCAGAGCCCCACTGTCAGCTCGAGCGTGGGGAAGTCACTCCCTGTGATCCAGGCTTAAACTCCAGGATACAATGGCTGTCCCCGACTCCACTAGGAGTCAGGTTGGTATCCGTCCTATCTGGGGGCATGAAGGTGGTGCGGGTGGGAGCCAGCGAGTGACACCCATCACCCTCTCACTTTGGGAGGCTGTATGGAGCCAGAAGTTGGAGAGCTGGGTCCTGAGTGGGACCTGTGCCATGCAGCTGGTCACCTGCCCCAGGCTGGGCACCTCAAACATCTGAGGAATATCTGGGTGTCTCTAAAGGACCTTGAGCTGGCCATCCTCTCTCCTTACACTAGGTGATGTACAGAAATGTTACCCCTATATCAGTCAGGGGCACCCTTTATGCAGCAGGCTGTGACCTGTCACCCCAGTCTGTCAGCATCGCCCCTGTCTTCACAGGTGTTGGGAAGGGAGGCTTGGCACCTGGGCTTGCCCTCAGATGTCACGTGTTGGAAGATGTGCTGAGGGCTGATAGGTGTATATAAACATGTCTGTGCAGGCCTGTGAGCGTGTGTACATATATGTCCACCTAGTCATGTGTGTATGTGTGTGTGTTTGCATTTGTGTATATGTGCCTGTACATATTTGATTGTCTGCATATTTTTTTGGTGTGTACCTGAATGTGTTTACCTGTATTTGTCTATGTGTGAGTTCTTTTGTGTCTGCTGTGTGTGTCTGCATGTGTATGGTGCGTCTATGTGTACTTGTGTGCATGTATCTGTCTATGTCCATGCATGTGTGTGAATATATGTGTGCCTGCATGTGTGTGCTGTGTGGCCCGCATTCCCGTGTGTCTGTATTTCAGTGTCTGAAAGTGTGTCTGCATGTGTGTGGCGTGGTGGGGAGAGTGGGGCCATGGGGCTGGAGGGTGGAGAGGAGTGAACAGGGGCTGGCACTGGCTTGTCACAGACCAAAAAAATGCTCCAGGAGCAGGGATGAGGCAGGCTTGCTGAGCGGGGAAACTCAGAGGCTCTGCCCTCTCTTTTACCATTACAAACATTCTCCTGTAGAGCTGTCTGGGAGCGGCTGCCTTCCAGGGACAAGAGCCTCTCAGAGCTGCCGTGGTGGAGTGAGGAGTCTCTAGGCAAGTGGCCGAGGGCTGCTCCCCCCTGTCAGATGCTGTCAGGACATTTCATGTCACTTCAAAGGGTCAGCACAGGAGCAGGCAGTGTCAAACATCACACACCCTGGCTGACAGGCATCGGGCCCAGGATGGAGTGTTCTTGGCCTCCCTCTCTGGGGAAGAGGGCAGAGGGCAGTGGGTGGAGGCGGCTGAGCAGACAGACGCATTTGTACAGAGGCTGTACCGTGCACTCGGGGTGAGGGTAGCCGGCTGCCCCCTATATGCAATTCACTATCTTCTGTCACCTCCCCCCTGCAGCCCAGTCCCTGCTATCCCCTCTGAGTGCTTCTCACCCTCAGAAAGAAATTAACGCTGAGCTGGGGGAGGGTGGCACATTCTGACCGCAGTGAAAATTAAACGCCCTGGGTATTCAGGGGGAGTCCAAATTGCCCTGTTCTTGCTACCCTAGAATGTCACAGCAAGGGCTGCTGAGTGTCATTGCTGAGCCTGAGGTAGTTTGAAAAGACACAGAGCTTTGGAGAAAGCTGTATTAGCCAGCTGGGTGGAGGACTTGCGGGGTGGCTGGATTTGAATCCTGGCTCTGTCCTTTGGCAGCTGGGTGACTTTAGGTAGCTACTGCCCTTTCTGTGCTTGCTCACCTGTAAAAGGGGAACACTACGTGTGACAGCATCAAAGGTCTTCACACCCCGATGTAGGCTTCTCTAATGGCACAATGATATGTATACCCTGTCCAGGTCAAAAGGATGGCAGCTTCCATCTTGATGTCTCTTTCCCTTTCTGCATTGCTTTCTGGAGAGGCCTACACAGCAAGAACTAGCCAGCGGGGCCAGGACCTCAGGCACCGACTCAGGTTCTGGCACAGGGTTATGAGGTAATGTGTGCTTGCTGTTTAATGGGGTTAAACTTTGGAGTCATTTGTCACGCGCAACAGAGAACTGATATGCCAGGGTCACCATGAAGACCAAAGGGCTACCACGGCCAGTAGCTGGCAGAACTGTGGACTATAGATGCTGTGTTGGCAGCCAGGCTGGATTTAGTCACCTAGGAACTGGGAGGTGTTTTCTTAGGTAGGAACCTCTGAATGTGGGAGATGCCGTCCCACAGGCTGGGGTCCTGGACGGAATAAAGAGAAGGTGAGCCTAGCGCTCGTGTTCATCTGCAGAAGCCTCCTGCTCTGTGTGTCACGCCCTCCCCACCATGATGGACTGGACCCTCAAACTGGGAACAAAAGCAAATCCTTCCCCAAGTTGCTTCTGTCAACTATTTTGTCACACAAAGGAAGACTGCAGGCTCCGTCCGAGAAGAAAGGGTTTAAATGTAGGGTATAAACAGAGGCTCGCAGAGGAAGCCCCGGAAGTGCAGATCCAGCGAGTACGAGGGTGTGTGAGGACACAGATCCCAGTCCAGAAACCTTCCCCAGAGGGCTGAGCCAGGTGGGCTGGTCTGTGCCCCAGAGCCACAACTGATGAACAGCTGGACTCCCAAGATCTTTGTATGCCCTATTGACTCAGGCACCTTCCCAGCTCCCATTCCCTGTTCTCGGTTATAATTTACTTTTTTTGAGGCAGGGTCTCACATAATCAATCCAGCCTAGCCTCAACTGTCTAAGTAGCCGAGGCTGGCCCTGCACTCTTGATCATCCTGTTTCTACCTCTCAGGTGCTGGCATGCCAGCCTTTGGGTCTTTAACCAGGAGGGTTCTAGGGAAGGCTTAGTTACATCTCATGCTGTCCTGCCACTGCTGAACCCTGACCTGCACACTCCTATGTTTACCAGTGACGCTGCCATGTTGGGGCCGAGACTTACATGTGCTGGGACGCATTGGGGAAGAGGCGTGAGTACTGGGGGGCAGAGTCTTCGGGGCCATGGGGAGCTGCATGGCTGATGACCATGAGCACGGGTCTGTGTGGGTACATCTTCTTGGATGTGCGGAAGAAGCTCACGCTGTCGTTGGTGATGAGGTCCGTGAGGTAATCCTGGGGAGGGAGAAACGGGAGGATGGTGAGGACCAGGGGATTTAGACTGTTGTTTATGTGTCCCACACTCAGGTAGGCGTCAGGACAGAGCTATGAACATGCACTGATTGTAGTGGTATGTTATGTGTATTTTGATAAATAAATCTTGCCTGAAAACCAGAGGCAAAGTTAAAGCCACTAGAGGCCAGGCAATGGTGACGCACACCTTTAATCCCAGGATTTTGGAGACAGAGGCAGATGGATCTCTTTGAGTTCAAGGCTACCCTGGGCTAGACAAGATCAATGAGAAGCAACTCCAGGTGGTGGTGGCTCACATCTTTAATCCTAATCCTAGGGAGTCACACACTTTCAATCCCAGTGCTAGAGGAAATATGAAATGAAATATTGAAATGAGAGGATAGAGGCTTAGTCTGCTTAGTCTGTGGTCTGCCGGCCTTGGTAGAGGTAAGACTTCTCTAGTGGACTGCTTTGTTTTTCTGTTTTCAGGTTGAACTCCAATTTCTGTCTCTGGGTGCTTATTCACGCTATACCTGATAACTGCCCTCCTGGAGCCGGTAGCAGGGCAGATAGCAGATAAGCAAATCCAGTACATAGAATGCCACTACAGACAGTGTTCATTGTCTCCTTAACAGAATCTAGGGTCACCTGGGAGACAGACCTGAGCATGTCTGTGAATGGGATTATCTCCATTGCTTTAAACGTGGTGGGAAAACTTGCCCACTGCGGGTGATACCATCTTGAACTGTGCAGTGGGGAGGGGAACTGAGCAGTAGCATGTGGTCACTGCTTTTGTCAAGCTTGGTAGCTTGAATGTCACTGGCTCCCGTAAGCTCACAGGGAGTGGCAGTGTCACTGTGGGAACAGGCTTTGCGGTCTCTTATGTGATCAAGTCACGCCCAGTGTCTCAGTTCACTTCCTGTTGCCTGCGGATCACAATGTGGGACTCTCAGCTCCTTCTCCAGTACCATGTCTGCCTGCATGCCGCCATGCCCTCCCATGACGGTAATGGACTGAACCTCTGAACTTTGAGTGACCCCAATTAAATGTTTTTCTTTATGAGAATTGCTGTGCTCATGGTGTCTACACAGCAACAGAAAGGGAACCAAGAAGTGAAGGTGGTGGAGGGAAACAGAGTAGGAGAAGCGGGGGAGTACGGCAGGAGGGACTGGTACCTCACGACAGACCGAAAGGACAGTGTTAAACACAACTGAATATTTGGGGTCAGCCAAGAACCGGCTTGCGTTCACTCACACGTAATTGTAGACAGTGGGCATGGTAACAATCCCTACTTAGAAATGAAGGCACAGGGAAGGGAGTCCTTCAGTGTTACAGGAATGTTAGAGCTTGGTCTCCAGAAACTGGGCTGAAACAGTGAGGGGCGCCTCTTGGAGGAGGTGGCATTTGAGCTGACTCTAGGACTAGAGAGATGGAAAACCTGCACGCCAACCCCAGGAGGGAGCTGAGAGCAGGGCTCTCCGGCTGGCTCTGGGGAGGGCACCGTGGGGAGAGCTTACCGTGGAGTAGTCGGAGCCATGCTTCTCCTTCACCCCGTTCCGGCAGAGTGTGTAGTTGTAAAACCTGGAGTTCTTAAGCAGTCCGACCCACTCCTTCCAGCCCGGCGGCACGTAGGAGCCATTGTACTCATTGAGATACTTTCCAAAGAAAGCTGGAAGGGAACAGAGGCGCGTGAGAGAGCAGCAGACTTGGCCCTGGCATCACTCGGTGAGCTTGACCAAGCTGAGTGTTCACAGCCAGCGACCAATACACAGCCTCTCGTCCTCGGCAAGAGGGGAGCCCAGGGCTCCTTCTCTGCGGCGTTCGCATGTACAAGGTGTACAGCAGGATTAGAGGGAAGCATCAAGGCATTTTGAAATATGGCCATAGACACACTAAAATAATTTACAGTAGATAATATGTTCTTTAAAAATTAAGGGATCAAAAGCAGGGGGTGGGGCTGGAGGGATGGCCCAGGGGTTAGGAGTGTGCACTGCTTTCCCAGAGGGTCCCAGCACTGGTGACTTACAATTGCCTGTGACTCTAACTACACACACACACACACACACACACACACACACACACACACACACTTAAAATAATTTTTTAAGTAAAAATAATAAAAAAATAAAAATATATCAAAAGCAAAAACTTGCTGAAGAGTTGAAAATTTCAAAGTAGTGGTGAGTGAAAGCATTTAATCGTGTGCTATCTGCAAGAACTATAGCAGGGCCTCAAACACCAGTGGTCCGTCCGTCCGTCCGTCCGTCCCTCCCCCTCCATCCCCTCCATCCCCCCACCTTCTTTTTTCTTCTCACTCAATAAGGTCTAATACTGTGGCCCAAGCTATCCTGGAACTACGTAGACCAGACTAGCTTCAAACTCATGGCAGTCCTCCTGCCTCAGCCTCTTGAGGACCAGGATTAGAGCTATGAACCACCACATCCTGTTTAAAATGTCCGTGATGTCCTTTGGATGACAAAGTCCCGGATTCTGGCTCGTGTTCTGTGAGCACAGCAGAAGCAAGCAGGTTGTTCCTGCTGTAGGTCAGTGAGAAGTAAGAGTGTCCTCGTCACCTCTCGTGGAGGTTTGGATGAGAATGGCTGCCACAGGCTTGTCTCTCAGTGAACGGTTTGCAAAGATTAGGAGTGTCCTTGTTGGAAGAGGTGTGCCCTGGTTAGAGGAGGTGTGTCCTCGGAAGTGGGCTTGGAGGTTTCAGAAGCCCATGCTAGGCTGTCTCTCCCCCTATGCCTGCTGCCTGTTAACCAGGATGTAGAACTCTCAGCTACTTCTCCAGCACCATGCCTGTTGCCATGCTCCCCACCATGATAATGGACTAACCTCTGAAACTGTAAGCAAGCCCCTAATTCGATGTTTTCTTTTATAACAGTTGCCTTGGTCATGGTGTCTCTTCACAGCAATAGAACAGCGGCTAAGACGCCCCCTTGTCCAGGCCTATGGATGCTCTGGAACCTGTCTTCCACAGTCCCAAGGGTTGGTGGGAATGGGGATCAACTGGGGTTCTTGCAGACAGCTGGGGTGTGCCAACTGGCCCAACACTTTGGAATCTCTTTGGCACTGACTGTTCAACTTGAACATGGGCCCCGACCCAGCAATTTGGAACATGACTGTTTACCCACAGAAAAGCATCCACACGGTCATCAAGAGTCACCCAGGACATGTTGAAAACAGCACACTCGGAAGGCAAACAGAAATAAGTAAGAACTTCACTGGGCCGGCAGTCCCACTGTTCCACTTTGTTTCTTGCAGACACAGAGGCCGCACTGGTGACCTTTGCGGAGCGGCCATCTGGTCACTGTGTCCGTCTGTGTCACACCAGTCAACAACGATGCCCGCTGTTAACAAAAGCACCCCAATCTGTACCTGATCAGAAGGGGAGACGTGAAGCTTCTCCCTGGGGATGAGGGGACAGACTCAGAGGTGGTGCACAGAGGTAATACACTAGTCCTCTTTTTTTCAGATAGGGACACTGAGGTCCCTAGTCACTCCACCAAGATGGAGGCTAGCACAGGACCTTGACTGTCTGAGGTAGGAAGGTAGGAGAACTCAAGGGCACACTGATCGGAGATGTGCCCTGACCAGAGCGTGCCCAGTGGGTACTGGTGCAATATTCAAGATGACAGAGGTTTGGAAGGGAATGCTTATAGGTAGGACAGGAGGAGCTAGGCTCCTGTGGGTCCAGAGGACAGTGTTGGGCCCCTCTATGTTGGGCCTTTGAGAACAGAGCCGCGGCAGCCTGCTGCCTCAGGGGAATAGGCGCTGCGAAGGAGGGGGATCCCTGGAGACCTGGTAGGTGGCCGGTGGAGGGAACTATCTCCTTGGAGTTTGGGTCACTGGATTCCAGAGTCCTTCAGGCACAGGACAAAGGAGACACAGGGGACAAAGGGGTCTGCTGAGGACCCCTGAGCAGTGCAGGGAGAGAGCCGGCTGCTCCCTAGAGATGCAGAGGAAATACAGCTTGCGAGGATCTAGGAGCAGGGCTCCAGAGAGCAGTGAAAACAGGAAGGAGGATCCTTCCGTGGGGAGGTAGAGAGATGAACAGACGGAACCTGGCTGGTGGTGGTGGGGGCAGGAGGCGGCTGTGCCTTCGGAGTCCCAGGAGCTTCGGTATTTATTACGAGATGTGATTAGGCCGTGGGTGCCTCACAAAACAGCGAATGAGTATTCCTGGCTGGGAGACTGGAGTGACAGAATACTGGGAGGCAGGCAGAGAAGCCAATCTTTCTTTTCCTTACAGAGCTCAGCAAGGTCACTGCCAGGATGGCCTAAGGCCAGGTCAGGATGCCCTGCGGTGCTCTGTTCCCCAAGTGGGCCTTCCATCCAGGCTGCTTTTGTCCCCTAGATCGTCCTGGCAGTTCAGAGGGTGGTACTTCTAGTGTTATAACAGGTGACTCTAGTGGATGCTAGATGGATACCCCTCTTCCAACGCCTAGGGCAGCCTCCTGGTCACGAAGAACCTTCCAGAACAAACTGTCAGTGGGGCTGAAGAGGAGAAAGTGTGACCTTATTTAAAAAGGTTACTATCATACAGCCCTGGAGCATCTCTGGGTTCTGGAACCACACTCAGAGCTAAAAAGGCCCTAGGAGATCAGGAATGCCTCAGGCCAGATCTAATCAGTCTGCTCAGTGGCTCTGCCTTCACCTGCTCTATGCCATGACACGCCTGCCTCTTCATTCCCCATTGCCCCTCCTGTTTGAGAGCCCACCCATAGGCTAAACCACCTCTGTGGCAGTTAACCTTTGTAGAACACAGGGACCGAAGACAACAGCAAAAGGATGTGGCTGTGTCCCAGTAAACCTTTATAAGAACAGACGGAGGGCTGGATATACTCTGAGGGCTACAGTTTGCTGACCACAAGCTCCGACAACCGGTGGGTTTGAATGGACCAACTGGGAACTCAGAAGCCCAACCCTTTTCTGGCTTATCCAGAGATAGAGAGATAGAGATAGTGATGGGGGGTGAGGGAGATGGGTGGGTGCTGTTTTAAGAAAGAATTTTTAGAGAATGTGCATGGTGCTGGAGGTATTTCAGCTGGAGCTAGCTTGGAACAAGGCTCAGATGCCCAAATGCCATCAGGAAGAAGCCTTTCCACGTTGCCTTTACCAGACCCAGGTTGGCGCCCACCACTGCTACCATTCTTTCTGTACTGGCTCAGAACTTCAACAAGAAGACTCCCTCACCTCCAGTCCTGAAATACAGGGCTGTGTAGAGAGGTGCTAGCGCTCCTATTCCAGAGGACCCAGGTTTGGTGATTGGCACCCAAGCTCACAACTACATGTAACTTCAGCGCCAGGAGATCTGGCACCCTCTTCTGGTCATGGTGGGCAATTGCACACTTGTGGCATACACTCGCACAAACACATTATATATGTGAATACAATTTAAAAACATATTATGGTTAAAAATAAAATTAAGATGGAAAAAGTATATATGTACATGGATAGGAAAATGTCCTTTGGAAGCCGCTGGAGTGCAAAGGGCGAAAAAAAAAAGAGCCAATGACCAATCAAAACCACAATGACATCAAATGGAATTGGTGAGTTTGGGGTAACAGTCCCAGGGCATGTATGGCTTCAGATCCATCCAACAACCCCTGTCATATTCGTATAGAGCTGGTTGGTCACCAACTGCAGTTCCTGAGGAGGTGTTATGAACTGAGTCTAAAATGTGCCCCCACAGGCTTATGTGTTTGAACACTTGATCCCCAGCAGGTGGCGCTGTTTTGGAAGGTTGTGTCACCATGGGGACATGCAGCCTCACTAGGCACGTGGACCATTGGGAGAAGGCTTGACAGGGATATCCACTGGTAGTGTGGCAGGCTGAAAGACACTGTGCCAGGCAGGAAGAACAGCAAGGCGCAAAGAAAGTGTGACTGAAGCAACCCTGGCACATTTGAAGGACCCAAGGAAGACAGAGGGGGAGGCGGAGGTGATGTCACAGGGAAAGGGGCTAGATCTTGCTGGCTCCTGGAAGCTACAATGAGCAGCAAAGTGGTCCGAGCCTCATGGAATCCATACCTGCCAGATATTGTATTTCATGTTTACATGAAAATGCCATGCCCCAAAAAGAACCCAGGACCATAGCTTGCCCAGGAAGTACAAAACAGGTCCTCCCTGTGCTGATGAATGAGAACAGAGAAAGGTGGCTGAATCCCACAGCAACACTGGGTTCCCTCCCAGCTCTCCTGAGTACCAGGCTGGGGATCCCCAGAGATCAAGGCCAAGGTCTTTGTGATGCTGATGTGCTCCAAATATGCACAACTCCAGTGCTTGGCCTGCCTAGCGGGATCAGGGAGCGGCATGCTTCCCTGCCTGTCCTCCGTGCCAGAAATATCACAGTTCCTGTCTTCTCCTCTCGTCCTTTCTTCTTTCCAGCCCGGGACCCTCGTGAAACCCAGAAAGACCTTATTATCCAGGCTCAACGAAGCCCCAGAAATCAGGGCTTCAGTCAGAGGCTTTTAGTGCCAAATTAGATTTTGCTCTCATTTGATTAGATTTCCCCAGGGCAGTTTTTAAAATGGTTATTCCGGCACGAATAGAGGTGGGAGAAGCAGATTAGCGTGGGCCGGGGGCTGGGAGTTGCAGCTGAGAGAGAGAAAGAGAGAGAGAAAGCTGGAATGAGAGCCAAGATGAGGCGCGCAGCCCAGATCG